TATTAATTGAGAGATAAAAAAAGAGATTTCATGCAACTGAAATATTAATCCACACAGGAGGGAAATCGTACCAATTCAGAATCGATATCACCGAAGCGGAAAACGGAACGTTCTTATGGCAGAATTTATTAGTAGAATGATATAAAAAAAAAAAAATCCAAATTTAGATCAACATCTGTCAGCCAATAGTTGTCAGATTTAAATCAGCCAAGTTGGATTGACACCCTCCAATCACCATTCATTCCAGTCAGAAACTGGGACCCAATAACCTTAAAAAGTTTCAAACACCTAATAATTCAATGCCACGTTTCATCTCCCGTGGACCTGAGCGACACAGAAACAAAAACCAAAGTTGAAATTCGAACATCTGAAAATTTCCCAAACGAGCGCTTCTCTTCCTTTCTCTTTCTTACGCAAAATACTCAAATCTCTGCTCTCCGACCAATCTCCGGCGCACTCTCCATTTCGCTCCGTTCACTGATTACCTCCAGCTCGGTTTTGCTTCCCTCTTCCTCTTCCTCTTCCTCTACACGTCGGGCGTTCGTCTTGTTCTAGGGTTTTCATATTGTAGCTCCGGTTTTTAACTTATTCGGATTCGGAAGATTCAGTTTTGGCGTTTAGTGGTGTGAAGTCCGTGAATTTGAAGGAAATGGAGCCGTTTCATAAGTGGACGACTTATGTGAGTACTTCCGAGGTGGTGTAATGGTTGGGGAGTAATTAGGGTTTCCGGGGCTCCTGAGAAAATTGGGAGGTTATTTTAAGTGAATTTAGTTTGATTTGGGGAAATAAAGTGGGAATTTTTGGTATTGAGGTAAGATTTGGAGAATTTGCTGTGCTGGGAAAATTAGGGTTTTTTCTGGGTCTACTGTAAATTAGTTGGATTTGATTTGTTTTGAGTTTCTGGTGGTGAAATTTATGGTTTTGGAGCTCAGCTGGATCTGGATAGGTGAAATTTGAAGTGTTTCTGTTTGCTACTTTTTGGGAGGAGGTTTCATTAAGCTTGATTTTTTCAGTTTTTTTTTTGGTGTTTAGGGTTCTTTCTTAACCGGAGAGCCAAAAAAGGGTTCTTTCTGGACTAAGTGGAATGCTATTGTGTAGTATCTAGGGTTTGGTTCTGGTTTTGGGAGAGAAATGTTTTACTCACAGTTTATATTGGCCAAGAAAGGCCCCTTGGGAACGATATGGATAGCAGCACATCTGGAGAGGAAGCTCCGAAAGAATCAAGTTGCGGATACTGATATTGGCATCTCAGTTGGTTAGTATTTACATTTTACTGTTTACTCTTGTTGTACTCTATCTATATTTGGCTGCTATGAAGGTGGAAGAAAACTCAGATATGCCTAAATGCTAAATTCAGCCTTTTAGTGTTGTTAAAAGTAATTTACAGGAACTTGTTCGACTCAATACCTTGAACTTTTTTGCAAGGCGTAGGATAATCTCTAGTTGAATCTAATAAAAGGGAAATAAGAAAGCAAAGCAGGCAAGCTAGTTAAAAGTTTAATTAGTTTTAACTTGAACCATAATTTTAGCTTTTTATTGTATTTAATATTTTACACATGGATAAGTTCGATCTGTGTATATGATAAGGGGAGTTGCCCTTAAGAAATAGAGAAAATTTGATTATCTGCTCTAGGGAACGTTTACAGTTTGGATTAAAGATAGAGATGTTTATATTTTGTCAAACTAGAAGGTAGAGAAGCATTAACCTGACTATGGAACTTGCAGAGTTAATTTTGAAACTCAATGAATGGGATTCTTGACCGTATGATGTTGTACTTGACTATCCCTAGTAATTTGGTTCTTCCAATCATCTTTAATTTTAACAGGGTTTAAAGGGTTCTCCTTTTCATTATGATGTCAAGCTATTCTTCTTGGGGCTTTAGGAGTGAATGGGATGGTCCTTGAATGGACCAATCTGACAGGGTTTGTTGGCAATCTTGTTGGTGGTTGTATTCTATTATTGGTGGAAAAGCCATATATTATATACGTTGTTTTTGCACTGGATATCTTTTTGTACTCCAGCAGTATCTTATTGGTGGGATAATTTTGTTATCCCTGCTTCTGATGGTAAATATTCATTTAAAAATTTTAATTATAGCTTGAGCTACCATTTCTAAGACTGGTGTAGTTATTGTTGCTAGTATGATTAACTTTGCTTAGCTCTTTCAGCTTTCCAGCTTGTGGAGGTTGATATCTCCAAACTTGTAAAACCAGAAAACAATCTATAATGATGAGTGATTATGATTTATCTGCATTCCCATGTTGAATTTTCTGGGAGATATGAGAAATCTGCCAACAATTTCTTGTAGAGGGTGTAGGCTTAAGAAAATTAAGATTATTAGGGTTTAGAACGTTGGAAGATAGATAAATTGGGTGGAAGGTGAATTAGAGGATATTTAGAGAGAACTGAAGTTTGAATGTCCCTGGCAGAAAAAAGAGAATGATTTTGAGACATGGTAGAAAAGAGTGAGAGTGGGAAAAAGGAGAAATTTGGCCATATAAAAGGAGAAATTTGGCCATATAGAAGGAGAAAGGTGCTTCAATAGACCAAAATGCTCATATTTCTATTAATCGAAGCTCAATTAATTTTGATATTGATAAGTATTTATTCCTTATAGATGGTCTTTGAATGTTTCCTGGATTAGTTTTCCAAAAATATGGGAAACCATTTGGTAGTAAGTAACTAAAGATATTATGATTCCACTTCTGGAAATTAAAATGTATATAATATAACTGATAAAATAAGAACCATTTATAAAGTTTTAACTTTAGAATTACCAACAAAAATGGTAATTATCTGCACTGTCCTGGCTTAGTTGTGTTTTTTGCTGTGTGTTCTCTTTGTAAAGATAAATTTTCTTCGCTTATCTAACTTAGTGTATGTTTTATTTGTTTTGAATCAAAGAAGTATATATTTTTTAATTTTTTTGCATACTACTTTGAGCAGATTCAATTCTATTTCCTGAAGTGCCCATTGCCCTCCGATTGTCCAGTCATCTTCTTCTTGGTGTAGTGAGGATATATTCTAGAAAGGTGAATTACCTTTTTGATGATTGCAGTGAGGCTTTGCTCAAGATAAAGCAAGCTTTTCGTTCCACTGCAGTTGATTTACCACCAGAAGAATCTACTGCTCCATATCATTCCATTACATTGCCAGAGACTTTTGATCTTGATGACTTTGAGTTGCCAGACAATGAAATCTTTCAGGGGTTAGTCATTTAATGCATCATCCTTTCTTGGGCATTTCTCACATATGATATTATATTATTATATATCAGAAGCTAAAAAATAGAGATAGTAATTTTTCCTGGGTGATATTATATGCTTGCTCTAAATTATGGTGATGTATCATTTATTGATGTTTAGCTATCTTGCAGTAACTACGTTGATCACCATGTTAGTTCAAGGGAGCAGATCACACTACAAGATACAATGGATGGTGTGGTGTACTCAACATCACAATTTGGGTTGGATGGTTTGTACTTGCTTCTGTGAGAATGCTAGATTTATCTATGTTTACATGGTTAACCCTATTAGTCTGATTTCATTGCATCTTATATCTTTTCAGAGAGGTTTGGTGATGGTGACACTTCTCAGATTGGTTTGGACCTTGATGAGGTAATTTTTCTAAGCTTGCTTGCCTTCTTGAATGACTCTAAAGTTGGTCAATGGTTGCTTTACCTTTGTAGCTATCCAATACCATAAAGCATCCGAGACATGATTTTAGACATTTAAAGGCCTTTTCTCCTGTTGTTTCTGTTGCCTCCTCAGGTCTGCTGAAACTGTAATTTCTGATTTTGTTCTTGCACTTCAGCATGGATTAACTCACCTTTTTTTTCTTGCTCTCTTCCACTTTTGTTCAATACAACCTTTTATTTTCTTGGATTAATCTTGAACAGGAGCTATTCTTGGAAAAGGATACAGCTTCAGGGGATAATGAAGTTTCCAAGTAAGCTCTCTATGTATATTTTGTTGCTTCTTTATCATGGTTATGTTAATTGTAAATTTAAGTTTTTCCTTCTTCCTTGGTTCATTTTTTGATGGTAAGGGAGATTGTTGGAGATTTGACTTAGTTATTGGGAAGTTCTTGTAGGTTGCATACCTGCCTGGCTCTTAAGTAACTATGGGTATTTTCATATTTATTTTCTGACTCAATGCATTCTATTCTTTGTTTGTGAACTGCTAAGTTACATCATTATCCTTAGGATTTTCTTTCTGAACATTCCTGAATCTTCCTCCTTGCCATTGGAGGTTTTTTTTTTTTTTTTGATCTGTGCTATTGGTGGTTCTTTATTCCATGCATCGTCATGCTTTTCTTCCTTCCCATTGCCTCTCTGTTTTGGATTGACTGTCAACAGGTTTTTCGCTTGCATTCACTAGCTTATGTTATTATGCCAATTAACTTGCATAAACCCATAAAAAGAAGTAACATGCCCAAAAACAAAAGTGGAGTTGCTAAAAGATCTGTATCAAAATCATTTCATTTCAGCAGTCAATTCTTGAGGCTTTTAAGTGTTTTCTCTCCTATATTTTTCTTAAACTTTTGATTCTTGATGTTTATTATGCCCCTTACTCTTTCTCTACTCTCAGGTCCGACCCTCAAGGTTCAGATGAAACAATGACAATAATAAAAAATGATGCAAGTAACTTAGAAGCTATGCCAATTAATGACGATGGAGATCAGGTTTATTTATTGTCAAACACCATTTTAATTACTTTGATCACTTTCATTCTTTGCATTAGATTCCATATCTATTTATCGTGTAAATGATTAATGTACTAGCTATGTTACTATCCAACTCAGCCTTATAAGTATGGTTTCCTTTGGCTTTAGATTGAAGGTCTGCATGCAAATTCTGAATTCTTTGAGTATGCTCATGCTCCAGCTACTCCTGGATTGGTGGAAGTGCCTAACTTATCTAGTGTTCAAGAGGCACTTGCTTCTGATGATCATATTGAATCAGCAGATCAGGATCTGACAAAACCAGCTGCTGCAGAAAATGTAGAATCTCCTAGCTGCTCAAATATTACCTATGACACAGTGGATGCTGGTCCTCGAACCACATCAAATAGCAACTTTATGCCTACATCAGAATGCTTTTCAGAGAATGATCAAGTTACAGTTAATAAGCCAGCTGATCATAATGATGCTGAAACCACCAAAAACTCAAATACTTACTGTCCATTGGAGTCACCTTATAGACCAACAGTTGTTGATGATGAAACTCAGGCTTGTCTGGAACCAAAAGATACTGTTCAAGAAGAGGTCTCATCTGCTCATATGCACGCACTTCGGCCATGTACTTCATGTTATGATCAACCTGATATGCCTTCTCTTGGAGAATATTTAGAATTTCTTCCAAATAGGCAGAATGAAGTTGCAGAGCAAGGTCAGTTTTTAAAAAGTCTATGAATTTTGTTTAACTTAGTGGCCTCTGTGAGGTTTGCCTACATTTTTGTAATACCTTGTTTGTCATTAACATTGAAATTTTGAAAATGACCTCTAGCATTAATTTCAATTGTGTTTGATAATCAAAGTATAAAAGAAAAGAGTGCAAAAATTGAAGGACTTGAACTATAAATATTGCATTAAATTAAGGACATTCATAGCAGGATAATATGTTAGATGAGATGGAATAGTGTTGTAAATTAAAGAGTACATTAAAGAGCATGATTTGATTGTTACTTTTATATTTACCATTTTTGCAGGTGAAGGCTGCCAAAATGTGCCAGAACTTGTTTTATGTGAGGAGATCAAGGGAGATGATAGAAATTCTGGCAAGCAACGAGACAGCTTGATCTCTTTTGATGATCAATGGGAAAATTCAAATGATCATGCGACTTCTGACTTGCCTGCACCTGAGAAGTTGCTCTCGGTTCCAGAAGGAATTACTGATAAACCGACTAATCTGCTAGTTGAATCTACACCAGATAGAGAGACCTTAATAGGAACTGATGGAATTGGTGCTGGCACCAAGCCTGTTTCAGGGAAAAAACGAAATTACACAGAAAGTACACTAACCGTGGAGAGTATAAACTCAGTTGAATCATTTGGACAGACTCGCCCCAAGAGAACTGCAGATTCCATTCCTGATGATGATGATTTATTGTCTTCTATTCTAGGTAACATCTTTTACTACAAATTCTATGTAGTGCTATTTTCATCAAGTTACCTGGATTCTATGGCTTGGAAGGATAAAATTCAAGAGAATATCATTGCTAAATTGAATCTTCTTTCTTCAGTTGGAAGAAAATCTTCAGTTTGGAAAATGAAACCAACACCTGAAGTAGCTTCTGCAAAACGTGCTCAGTCTGCATCTCGGCGTAGTGCGTCAAAGAGGAAGGTGCTTATGGATGATGCCATGGTCTTGCACGGCGAGTATGTTTTTTTTCTTTTCCTTAAATTCTTTTTCATTCTCATTACTTTCTTTGAAACTTTTACATGATTATTCATCTTTCTGCCTTTTTAGCTTAGGATGCATCTGAAATTCATCATCAGAATGCTGCCTGAAAATACTAAAATCCTTTAATGAAGAACATTAGTTTAACAATGGGCAAGTTGGATCCTATAATGAAATTTATGTTTCTGGGAAAATTTTCCTTTCCATGTTCAGAATTTACCTTTTCCCTCAATTCACGTAGTTTAATGTGCGCCAATCTCTGGAAGTTTCTTCTCACATTTTGGCAATTTGTCTTACAAAAGGTGCTTAATTCCAACTCTGTTTTTCACTAGAATACCACCAGATGTGTCCACTTCCCAGTGCAGTAACAATCTATTCATAGTTTAGTACAGCTTTATTTATATATGTTGAATATCTGACCAACTGGATACATACCCACTTCATTTTACTCTTTTTTTTTTTTTTTTTTTTTTTTTTGGGGGGGGGGGGGTGTGGGATGGTTTTTAAATTGTGAAACATTGTAGGTTGGTACTTGTTTGATTTATTTAATTAAACATACAAGATTTCAAGCATTTATGCTTTCAAATTCATTTTCTCTCATAAAATTCTGATGGATTTGGCTGTTGTCTCCTCTGTAGTACCATACGCCAGCAGTTGACTGATACTGAAGACATACGTCGTGCACGCAAGAAAGCACCTTGTACACGTCCTGAGATTTCAATGATTCAGAGACAATTTTTGGAAGATGAAATCTTCAGCAAACCCATATTTACAGGTGAGACTATAGCTCTAAGAATTCATAATTATCTGCATGATTTTGGGGAATAATTTAAATGAGAGGGTTTTACTCTTTTCAATATGCCTCCATGATTTTGTTTTGAGATACTGTTTATTTATTATTATAATCAATTTGTCTTTCCATAGCTCATTTGAACTGTTTTCATGAGCTTCAACCCTCTAAGTTATCACTCAGCCGTTATTGTGTTCCTCTTGAATGTCATGATCAGATGTTGTTTACTTCTATGAGCTTTCTACACTTTCTTTATGATGCAGGAATGCATGTGCCTGAGTTCCCAGTGACATAATGCATATTGTATTTGACTTCTCTTATCAATTTGAAACAATGACTTAATCACTGAATATGCTAGTGAAGGATCTTTTAAAATTTTACGTTGCAAATTAAAGTAGTTAATTTGGTGTGCTTTTCAGGTATGTCAACGGAACTGGCATCTCTACACAGTGAAACATATGATCTGAGTGGAACCAGAATTTCTGAAGTTGATGAAAGTTATGCTCCTCCTGAAGTGGCAAAGGATCCTGAGTTCTCCATTAGGCCTGACATTGCCAATGAAAGTGGTATTGAAGAAACAGTTCATGGAGATGATATTGAAGCACAACCTGTTGGGACAGCCCAGACTGAAAGCCAGCAGCGTGAAACCCCAAATATTGATACTGAACATATCAATGATGCTGCTGGTCCATCTGAACCTTTACAATGGGAACCTTTAAATGAGATGGCTGAAATGGAAATTGATAAAGGACCTGCTGAAGTTGCTGATGGTGAAAATATTGTTGCTGTAGAATCTGCAACAAAAGAAAGAGACAAGTTTTTGGGTGAAGAAATTAATGCTAGTACATTTGTTGAAATCAATACAGATATTCATCCTACTGAAAATGGAAATGACTCTCTTGCAACTTCATATGTGGAAACTGGAGGATTTCTTAATGGTGACCAAGCTGCAGATGAAGTTAGAATTAATGAGGTGGGTGAAGTGAACGGGGATTTGGTTAAGGATGCAGATATGGAGGTTGATGACAAGGATCCAACCCATATCTGTAATGAAGAACCTAAAATGGATTCTATATACTCAATAGAACTTGATACTGCCATCAGAAGTTCATCAAATGATGGAGAAAAACCAGCCATGAATGAAGTTGATGCTGTAGATGCAGAAATTATTGCCCAGGACCACTGTAATGTGGATAATCAGGTGCGTTACAGAGTGAAGACTCTTTTACTGAGAACAATTGCTACTGTTCTAATTTTTCTCTTGATGGTCAGCATGGCATTTTTATACGTCAAACCAATTTCACACTGTGGGGATGGTATGACTGGATAAGGGGCAATATATTCTTGCACATATCATATTGAACAGATACAAAGACAGTTTTAATGCACTATTAAATATCTAACTTAGTTATTACATTAATCTTCTGTTCTTCATATTTTTGTTGCATTAAGTACCTGTCAGGATATTATTTGCAGAGCATTCTGTTATTATGAGAATGGGTATGTTGTACAGTTTTCTTACTTAAGCATAATGTTTGAGCACTAATCTAGACATTATTTGGCATGTTACAGGAATCTGGAAATTTTGTGATTGCAAATGACACAGGTGGCTAGCTCTTGCCTTTTCTACTTGCAGTTTTATTTCTGAGCATTTGAGATTTCTTTCCTGAAATTATATTTCCTTATCAAAACTGTTTGACACTAACTACTTTGATAGTTTATTGGATAAAAGAATTATATTTTCATTGGAGGATTACGTTCATATTAGTGATGTGTTCCTCTGTTTCCTTATCTTTACCAAGCCTAGATTCTCTGTCCTCTTGATCATGCTTGTGCACTGTTATTTAGGTTGCAAGGAGAGTCTGTAGTTTGGCAATTCAGTTTTGGTAGCTTTATAATGTCTAGATGACGGCACAAGCTTTGTTCTGCAGCTAGGATGTATCATTTTTTTTGAGATTAGGACAGACTGAGTAAACTGTTAACAAGCCATAAATAATAACATGATTAATTATAAGATGGTAAGGAGAACATAGTGTACTTGTTTAAATCAAAAGGAGTGTCTTTACAGTCTGTAAATGCATTCAAGATTTCCTTGGGTCGAAATTGAATTTCTTCACCCTTTATCCCTTTTTTCTTTTTTCCTTTTCAGAATTTCTGAACGTAGATGATGAGTTAGGTGAAGAAGATGAAGATGGCATGCCATATGGTGATGAAACTGGTATTCTTGACAATAGTGGCTGGTCTGCCCGTACCAGGTATGTAGGCTTTCTGTGGTAGAAACTCTTGTTGTTTCCTCTATTTTGTGTAATAATAGACAGCAGTTTTGCTTTAATTCCTTTTAAATATCTTGCTGGACTGGTTACGAGTTTCTTGTCTAGTATAATTAGAATTTAGAATGAGTTTGCTCCACATGTTAAATTTGTTGATTGCTGTCTTATAGGGCGGTTGCCAAGTACTTGCAGAATTTATTTGACAATGAAGCTGTCCATGGCAGAAAGGTTCTTGCCATGGACAGTCTATTGGCTGGTAAAACTCGAAAAGAAGCAGCAAGGATGTTTTTCGAAACACTGGTATGTCCATTGAACTACCTCATTTTGAAGCTACTTTGCACTCTTTAAATTTCCATTAGTTCAAAAAGGAGTGCAGGAATTCCATAAAAACTCAAGAAACTCAAAACAGAAAATTAATCTTCTTTGCTCCATGGTGTAAATACTGACCTGCAGGTTCTCAAGACCAAGGATTACATCCATGTAGAACAGCCAAGGGCCCTTGACAACATTGGCATAAAACCCCGAGCGAAGCTCATGAAATCAGATTTCTGATCTCCCTCACGCAGAAAGGCAGAAGGGTATACTCGAGAAAAGATGATTTAGCTGTAGTTTGGCTGACGCATGGCCTATAGTGTCAAAATCTTTTTCTGTTCAAAATCACTTCCTCTTTGTTAGTTCATGTAGTTGTTAGTGGTTTAACACACGTCATCATGTTGTTTGTAGCATCAATATATACTTATGTGTATATATGATCTGTAAAATATCTCAAATCAGCAATTGAGATTGCTAATTTATTTGTTTTGATTTTAGCTGCGTTTCCCCTGAGGTATCTGTACTCACCAAGTTACTCAAGTCTCAATTAGTACTTTGTTGTTGTTTATTAGACGCTGTAAAATCTGGAGTTGCTAGTAGGGCTGTAAGTTGAGTTGGTTAAACGACCCTTAGAAGCTCGATTTGATAAGTATGATTCGAGCCTCAACCTTGAGTAAATTGGTTACAGCACTGGTTGCTAGCATTAGAACCAGTATGCTCAATTAAACAAAAAAGTGGGGGAGGGGGGGGGGGGGGTGTGTGGTGTGGTGTGGTGGTGGTGGGGTTTAGATGGAGAATGTTGCTCGGTAATATTGATCACAACACAACATTTTTAATGAAAATTTATCAAAATGTTAAAATAGCTTTGGTGAGTCACAACCTAACATTAACAGCGGTCCTGAACAAAACCTTGATCTTTCATATACACAAGGAACCAACATTTTCTTGCAACAAGTGCGTCAAACTTAGATATGGATGCAATCAGTGACCCAAGTTGACAAATTTAAAGCTAAACCAATTGGTTAAAAACTGGCTATTATGAAGTAATAAACTGATTAATGAATCCAAAGAAATACCGAGCGAAACCATGCCAGACGAGTAGTCTGTGCATACACTTTCAGGCACATGTTGTAAACTTCTAACCTGCAGTTCAGGGGATGGAACCAATCTCATCCTTCAGAAATGCCAGTGAGAAAGTGGTGTTCCCTGTAGCTATAATGAGAAAGCATGATATACTGCAGAAAGTCATTCGGAAAGCATCTAAATAGTTTCGACATGTTTCCTCATTAAAGGGACACCTGTGACTTTGTGTTGCCCATGTGGTATTCACTAGCCTATCTGCCACCATATGAGTCACTCTGCCATTGAAGCTAAGGCCCTCATTATACCACTGGGTTCACACTGCTAGACAGACTGAAAGAGTAAATACCTCAAAGACTATACAAATGAAAAAAAGCTAACCATGCTTACTGAGTTGACATTGCTAGACACAGTTTACATTGAGTTCATATCAGCTGCTTCACCCCATGCATAAACTCTAGTAGAGTAACAATGTTAAAAGAATAAAAGATGATGATAAAATTTAAGGGAAACACAGAAAGAAAGTCATTTGATATGTATGAGTCATGAATCTCTCATGCCACTTTTGCTTCATATTACAGAGGTATGATACAACCTCAGAAGTAGAAAATATATGAAAATGTTTAGGGACAGACGGTATCCAACAGTCGAAAAATATCATTTCTTTATTTCTCAAGTTTCAAACATCTTTGATTAATCCTGAAATTAATTGGTTTATACCTCAAATTGATTTCATTTTATCAGCTCTGTATGGTGCACAACTGTTTCAAACATTGAAGCCCTCAGCTCGAAGACACAGGCGGTGAGCCTCAATCCATTTTGCACAGGCCTCTTCACCATGCTCCACAATGCATTCGTCTCTCAACTTCTTAGTCTCAGGGCAAGCACAACATATTTTCTTCTTTGGCTTTGACTCTGGAACAGATGCTGTTACTGATGCTTGGCTTTGGAGTGAGCTGTGGGAAGCATTTTGCAAAGGTAATCCACCCATTTTCTCAATTAATAAGAGATTGCAAGATGCTGTAAGGAAAAAAATTAAAGTGAATGCAGAGGACAGAAAACACACAAGAATTTAAACAGATTAAAAGGCCTTTGAGAAAAAAAAGGTTAATTTACATTACATAAAACGAGTATGTTTCTCTAGACTCTATTTTATCGATGAATAGTGTGACATATACAATCTCAAAACACACATAATGCAACACAAAGGTCTAAAAAAAAGCTCATTGAAGGACCTCGAACTCACTAAATAATTGCATTCAATGATCATTAGGTCATGTAATAATTCGTCAATACTTGTTAAAGACATTGTAACAAACCTTAACATAGCCATGTTAAAAGCTAGCTAACATTCAATCTCCTAACTAGAAAAGAGCAATTAAAAATATAATGTACCGAAATGGGTTTTAGAAGCTCAGAACCACTACTGGTAAATAAACCAAAATTTCAAAGAATGTTTTAAACACTTTCACAGGAACCATAACAAGGCATCATCACCACATCATATGGCAGTATTCATAATTTCACAAAATTATCCTTTTCCTTCAATATCTTAAGGATATCCAACAACTATTCCACCCAAAAAAATAAAAAAAACCAACACCCAACAACTTTTACAATTTTTTAGATCACTCATGGTGATTTAGGAAGAAAAGATTATAACTTTTCTGAAACTCTTTTCACCTATTTGAAATTCAAACCAATCCAACTCTACCCTTTCCATGCAACCCACAGAACCTCAGTGCCATACAACGTTAATGCATCTCAGTCCCTTCTGATAAAGATTTCAAAAGGGTTTTTCTTTCTCTATTGATTTCTTTGTTTCTGTTTCATGTAAGATGCATAATACAATCCCACCCCATAGAATACCCAAACAAAAGGAAACAACAGAAAACCCAAAAATAAAACAAAATACCCAAAAGATTGAAGAACAGAAAACCCGTAAAATAAAACAAAATACCCAAAAGATTGAAGGTTTTCTTACTGTTGTTTGAGCAGTCAAGAAAGATGACCAATTCTGCAGCTCTGTATTACTTCGTTACGTTTCGAAACGTGAGTACCCTACCTAACCCCACACCGGCGGCCACACGGAAATCGGAGAGTGTCAAGGTCGTGGGCTTCTGGGGCAAAGTTAGTTTCTAGAAACCTCTTTGTTGGCCCAAGGTTGATTCAGAACTGCTTTGGCCCATGACCGCCTGGTTTCGGATTTCACTAGGTTAACTGGGCCGAAGCCCTGTAAGTCAAAAAATTAAAATATAAAAAGAAACGCCGTTGCCGGGGATCGAACCCGGGTCGCCCGCGTGACAGGCGGGAATACTCACCACTATACTACAACGACCTCATTGCTAAAGCCTCAATGTTTCTTTATCATATCTAACTCTCTTCTTTATTTTCTTTTTGGGTTTCATTCCCTTCCTTGATACAGCAAAGCTATATTATGCTATTGGAAAAAAAGACATACCTTTTTTAAAGTCAAACTACTTCTGTTGTCTGACCATTTCCATAATCAATTTGGTGTTTTGAAATGTTTCCAGATGTTATAATATGAAAACAAAAAAAAAAAAAAAAAGACCTTATCTCTTCACATTTTTGTCCATGTCCTGCTCATGTGGTCATTTCATTTGTACCTATGTCCATATTCAAACATGATAGAATGGATCAGCTGCACTCTTAATTTATTTGTTTGGTTGTTCAATACATCATTTTAGCACCGTCAGCAATAGCTCAGTACATCCTAGGTCAGTGGACCTTGCTGTGTCCAACTTTCAGCAGTCAAGTACATTGGCATTGCAAATATAGGCCATTAGAGGATACACCTATGAATTTTTACCACATGCATACATATGGTTTTTGTCCGTTGTTATATGGCAAATATGTTCTAGTGTTGGTGGGTGGAATGTGAAAACCGATAAAGAAAAAGATGTACTAAGCTGTAAGTTACTTTCTGACCTCTTTTTACTTTGATGTCATGAAAGATCAATGTCCCTGATTGATGAAAAATTGTAGCTTCTGCGGGACAATTCCAATGCACTCGATCTCTTCATTACTTTCCTAAGTGTTGAACCACATTCTCAGTGAATTCCTTATGCAAGTGTTGGAATACTCTTGTTCATTTGCTCTAAGAATAAATGAGTGGTGTAAGTTTTTACACCCCATCATCTGAAATGTTCCGTTTAGGGTTGCTGCATCTCTACATAATTTATGTAAGGGTAATGATTGATATGTTTTTTTATTTAATATATTTTTTAATACCTTAGTTAATAAATTATTTTGTAAAATTTGAATTAAAGGTAAAAATATTAAAAATTATAGAATTTAATGATTAAATTAATGAGTATTTTGTGGGGTATGTTAAATTTGAAAGTATTCTAATTATTTTTCTATACAAAATGATGCATGAATTTGATCATAAAAATTGCTTGTATTTTAATTATTTGTATGTATTATTTGATGGACACATCT